GCAAATGGAAGTTTTTCTCCAAAGAAGCCGCTTGGCACATTTTAAACTTGTTTTTCATGTTTATTTATTTTTGAGAGAGAGAGAGAGAGCATGCCTGCCCGTGCATGAGTGGGGGAGGGGCAAAGAGAGAGGGAGACACAGAATCTAAAGCAGGCTTCAGGCTCCGAGCTGTCAGCACAGAGCCTGATGCGGGGCTCGAACTCATAAACTGTGAGATCATGACCCGAGCCCAAACTAAGAGTCAAACACTTAACCTGCTGAGCCACCCAGGCACCCCATTTCTTCTTTTTTTAAAGTACAAAATCAGTTCTTTCTTTTTTTAAAACTTTTCAATGTTTTTATTTTATTTTTGAGAGAGAGAGAGACAGAGTGTGAGCGGGGGAGGGGCAGAGAGAGACAGGGAGACACAGAATCTGAAGCAGGTTCCAGGCTCCAAGCTGTCAGCACAGAGCCTGAGGTGGGGCTCGAACTCATGATCCGCAAGATCATGACCTGAGCCAAAGTCGGACACTCAACCGACTGAGCCACCCAGGTGCCACTACCACTTTGCAAATGTTAAACACAACTTCCATTTGCAACAGTTGTGTGACGGTAGTCCTGGGGGTAGTTTCAACTTTGGCCAAAGCCCTGCAGTGGTGGACTTGTGGTTCTACTGATCCAGCACGCAGGCACCATGCCCCATGCGGCCCTCCCCATGAAGGGGACCCTGGAAACCCTTCGTTATGTGCTAGAGCGCACGTGGGCTTCCTTATCCTGAGTAATTGCGACCCTGTCGTGTGAGCACTTGTCACATGTCAAAACACTTCTTCATTTTAATGGCTTCAATAAAATTTTTTTGCAAGCCCCAATTTTTTTTATTATTAGATTCCACAGACATAAAATTACTCTGCCAAATTGCTAGAAAAGTTCCTAAATGCTTATTTCCCAATTTCCGTAATTATCTCGTCTTGGTGGCCCAGCAGTGCATCATCCCCAGACCACACCCTGCGTTGTCCCCCATAGGGAGCATCACACGTGTGGGCAGGTTCCTGGGAAGCACATGTTGTGGATGTTTTGAAATCTCGGAGCAACATTTCCTCTGATGGGCTCTTTACCCCTTACGTGGGAAGGGATTGCTTTGCCTGAACTAATCTCTAGCTACTCCCCCGCGCCCGAGGAAGACGCTGTCCTCCGACTGTTCTGCATCGGACGGTTAGGGACTCTGATGAGAGGTTGGGAGACACCAAGGGCTGGAATTCTTGTTTGGAGGTTGCAGTTGTCAGATGTGGTTCTCTCAAGGCGCTGCTGTGGGGTTCTGTTGTGTTCCTTCCCAGTGTGACTCACCAGCATGCCGCTGAGAAATCACCTGGGCTACCTCGCCGGCTTTAAATGGCGCAGTTCTGCAACGCATAGACCAACTCCCAGCCATTTTGGGGGGTCTTTTAAATAATATTTAAATCTCTGAATGATTTCTGGTACTAATAATTGGGTATGTTCAGTAAGTCAGCAACTTAATTCAGTGTCGAGTCTCAAGTGACAGGTCAGTCTCACGGGAGGCTGGGAGCATGAGAAATCTTATCGAGGTCTACGTCTGGGCTCCAGAGATAGGCACTACCCTAGTACACTTCTGCGTAGAAGGTCATGATGAAAGCCAAAAGATGGCCTCTTAGCCTGTGAATCTCAGAAGGCAGGCCCTTCAAACACCCTAGCGGAGCAAAAGGTGGTGTGGTGTACGCACCAAAAATGGGTGCTGGCTTTAGGACCTGGCTTCTGTCCTTTCTCTGCCATTCATAATCTATTTGAGTTTGAGCACGTACTTAACCTCTCCAAGCCTCGTGGATTAAAAATGTTAGGAGGATTAAATGAGAGTGTCTATAGAGCTTGGGACCTGGCGTATAGCAAGCCCTTGCGTGTTGGTTTCTGTCCCCTCTGTGATTTCTCTGCTGTAGTCTCAGAAAGCAGCTTTTGAATGCTCAGGTTATAGGTGGAAAGCGTAGTCAATTGCTTCACAGTTGTGGTTGAGAACACATTTGTACTGCACACTGTTGTCCTTTTTTATTTTTTTCTCCTGGAGCGTGCTGGACTCCTTTTTCTCCTGGACTACAAGTCCTTGTCTCTTAAAGAGATTGTGTGTGGTAGTAATAAACAGGCTTTTAGCAAAATGGTTCTTTAATCCTGTGCAAGCATATTCTGGACTCACAATAAAAATGCAGATGAAAACAAAAATGAACTAACGCCTTTTACGTACTGGTTGGGCCACAATCCAGAGTTTGATAGCATGTTGGGTTAGGAAGGGTACTAGACAGCGGGGCACTGGGGGTGGGCGAGAGTAAATTGGGATGTTTACGGGGAACAATTTAGTAATGTCTATCAAAATCCCAGGTGCATATTTTACTTCTAGAAACGTAGTCATGCTTGCTTATATGCAAAATCAAGTATTCACCATATCTATCCAGCTATGATGTCATCTTCAAGGTATGTTTTTAAAAATTATTTTTATTTTAATATTTTTTATTTATTTTTGAGAGAGAGAGAGAGAGAGAGAGAGAGAGAGAGAGAGAGTGAGCGGGTGAGGGGTGGAGAGAGGGAGACACAGAATCCGAAGCAGGCTCCAGGCTCTGAGCTGTCAGCACAGAGCCCAATACGGGGCTCAAACTCCCAAGCCGTGAGATCATGACCTGAGCCAAAGTCAGACACCACTCAGGTGCCCCTTCAAGATATATTTTTAAGTGAAAGATCAAATGGAGAGGAATGTGTATAGCTTGCTTTGTATATACCGTATTTACGTGAAATAAAAGGGAAATATTCATGTATCCAAAAACAAGTGTATCAGGCTGATCTTGACATATTTATCTGTGGAAACACAAAGGAAATGAAATAGGGCAACGGTGTCTGCAGGAAGGTGCAAAAACAGGCAGTCTTCTCTGTAGGAGTGAAACGTGAGTCTTCGTAGCTCTTTTCTTCGGTGTGTTACATGCGGCCAGGATGAGTCTGTTTTGTGGCTCTACTCTCAGCACCAAGGACAGGGTCTCTCCCAGTAAACACTGGTGAATGAATGAATGAATGAATGAATGAATGAAGAAACTTGACCTCTTTCCTGAGCTTGCAACTGGATGAATCCTGCCAGTAGGAACCAGGGAGGCACCGTACCGCTGTATTCACCTAATGTTCACTGCAAATTGTCTGGAAGGTCTCCGGTGTGGTGGTAGAGAAGCAGGAAGAGTGCCCATGTAACCTGGAACCATGAGACATGATTATTGATGGCTGCAAAGACCCAGCAATATTATACAAAAGAACCTAATGCTGGGAACCATTTGAAAGGGTAACTTACATGGAAAACTTCCTGTGATCATGTCAGTTATTAGTAATTTCATAAAAAGGTTTGTAGGGGCACCTGGGTGGCTCAGTCAGTTGAGCATCTGACTCTTGATTTTGGCTCAGGTCATGGTCCCACGGTCATGGGATTGAGCCCCACGTCAGGCTCTGTGCTGAATGTGGAGCCTGCTTGGGATTCTCTCTCTTCCTCTGCCCCTCTCCCCTGCTCTCTCTCTCACTCTAAAAAAAAAAAAATTATAAATGTCTGTGATAGAAAATAAGGATAAGTGAAAAACAATAATTAACAATCCCATTAGCCAGGTATAGCCACTGTTAATATTCTGGGATGCATTCTTCTAGTCTCCACTTATAACACATGCACATACACACATACTCCCGTTTTGTTAATCAGAAATTTTTCAGATGTCAGAGATTTTAATTAAATTAAGTCCTTTAATTTTTAAAACTGAAGTACAGGTGATACATAATGTCACATTAGTTTCAGGTGTGTGATATAGTGATTCAACAAGTGTATACCTTATGCTGTGCTCAACACAAGTGTACCTATGATCTGTCACCGTACGACACTGTTACAATATCATTGATCGTCTCCCCTATGTGGTGCCTTTTGCCTCCACGACTTATTCATTCAAGACTGGAAGCCTGTATCTCCCACTCACCTTCACCCATTTTGCTCATTGCCCCATTTCCTCCCCTTCACACAACCACCCATTTGTTCTCTGTATTTATGGGTCTGTTTCTGCCTTTGTGTTTTGCTTTGTTGTTCAGATTCCACATCTAAGTGAAATCATGTGGTATTTGTCTTTCTCTGTCAGACTTATTTCACAAAGCCTCTAGGTCCATCTGTGTCTTTCTTTGCAAATGGCAGCATCTCATTATTTTTTATGGTTGGGTACTATTCCATTATAGGTATGTGTATGTGTGTATATGTGTACATATATACATCTCACATCTTTTTTTCATGTCTTTTTGCTTTTTTGTTTATTCATTTATTTATTTACAGAGAGAAAGACAGAAAGAGATGCACAGAGGAGGAGTGAGAGAATCCCAAGCAGGCTCTGAACTGTCAGCCCAGAGCCTGACATGGAGCTCAGTCCCATGAACCCTGAGATCATGATCTGAGCCAAAATCAAGAGTTGGATGCTCAACTGACTGAGCCACCCAGGCGCCCTTGTCATGCTCTTTTTTGATTATTCCTGTTAACGTTAAGATGAATTCTCCTACAATCATGCAGAATGACTTTCAGTTCTCTGAAATGTCCCATCCTTTTCCTTTGTGGCTTCTTCTGGACTTCTCTGTGCCTTGAAGGTCTCCCCAAATCTTGGTTTCTCTCACCACTTGGTTCCTTTGTATTCTTTAGACCTTAGCTCTCGAATGTCATTTCCACAAAGAAGGCTCACCTAGCTGTCCCTTCAATTAGATGTCCCTTCTCTGCACTTTGGTTACACTTTGTGCAGACTTCAGTATCTTACTTAGCACATCCGTTGTGTACTGTCATTTTTGGCTTCCTTGTTTCTTTCTCCTACCAGACTGTAATCTTAAATAAGGAACAACGTCCTATTTAAACTAAGTTTGCGAGGACTGAGCAAATAGTAGGTGTTGCATAAATGTTGGATGAATTGAGCAAAAGCATAGAAGGCTTTCACATACTTTCCCTTGTTTAGCAGGCTTCTCCTAATACTTCCATTTGGGTGAAGAAAACACATCTTATGAGTCACGGTTGGATGTTCTCTGCCCGATCATCAACTCCTTTCATGGCAGCTGAGGAGCTATCTGACTGGTAGTCTGGAAAGAATAACCTGGACAAGCTGAGCTGCGCCTGGCTCTCCTATTTCCTTTTGGGAGTGACCTGTCTACTGAGAGTCTGAGATTTCCTCTACTCCTCAAGCCCTAAGCCTTAATTTGACATCCCCCCAGCGTGTGGACCCCTGCCCCAGCCCAGAGTGGCCTGAGACTGAGCAACCCGTCTGCCTCCTTCTGGGGCTCAGGTGGAAGCCCAGTTTGTCTCTCATTCCACTCTGTCGTCTCACCTGGCTTCCCTCGGGCACAAAGGTGAAAATTCTGGTCTCGATCGTCCTCGCGGTTTTGTTTTTCTATTTATTTAAGGACCTGGGTGGGGAAGAGACATAATATTTATAGAGGTGCCCTAGGGAACGCCTATAGTTGATTTGACCATTATTCCCTTTTAATTGATGGCAACCGAGACTCTGAGGGGTCAGTTGACAGGTCGTAGGTCGTGTTTACCGGGACCTGATCTCAGGTTCTCTGACTCTCCATACTCAAGCTGTTTTGTTTTGTTTTGTTTTGTTTTTTCTTTCTCTCTGTTTTCCTCCCACTATGTGGACTGGAAGTGGTAGCCCGAATTGCCGCACAGGCTGGAGGGAGGAACTCAGGAGTGGTAAAGTCCCTTCCGAGTGTGCGCCTACAACACACCTCCCGGGCCGGCATCTGACTGTCCATTTCTTTGTTATCCTTCCCATGGGGCACATGCTGAAGCGTTCAGTAAACGTACGCTTACCACCAGCCCGATTGTTTAGCATGCGGAGCCCTCAAGAACAGACACAGGCTGTGTAAACATTCAGTGCAGATGGTTGCAAAGGAGCTATGAAGTCATGTCTTCAGTATGGGAAGCACTGAGCAATGCTTTTCTCAGTCACACCCACAGGCACAGGTCATAGGGCCATCAGTCACATCATCCTCAGCAACGAAGACTGGCGTAAGCAATAGGGTAGGGGCTGGGGGACTTCCTGACCACTGACTTCATCCTCTGCTTTGGGGAGCCGAGCCAGGCTTTCTGGTACAGCATGAAGTTTCTCAAATAAGCTTAGCTTTGGGAAACAGTCTCCCTCTACTTTTTATGTGTTTTCTGGGCTTTCAAACCCATGGGTATTTTGAGGGAAACATAGCCCATATGTTTCTGATTTACTTACATTAAACTTGCCAGAAGTTTCTTTTGTAAAATCTATTTCACGTCTGGGAAACCTTCTCGGCCTGTTTTTTAAAGCCTTTTAGCCTGGATATTCACACTCAAAAGGAAGCAGAGAATTGAAACAATTATTAGGACATAATTGAGGCCAGAAAACCCCCTTCGCCTTTGTTACCTGAGCATTTCTGGGAAAAGGTAAATCTGGAAGTCCTCCGTTACTGAGGTAATTTTGCCCGAGTTATCCACTTTTCACATTTTGTGTGTGGATACAATCTTCAAAGACTGACATCTTTCTTCAAAGCACCATAGATAAGGTTTTGGTTTTCTAGTTAAGTTAATCTTGGCCAAGTGTCCCTGGTCTGTTTCCTATTCGGGAATCTCTGAATTTGAGTAGGTTATAAATTTGACAAAGTGCTTTTATTTGTTTATTCTTTGCTTGGAGGAGAGGGTGACATAAATCCAAGGAAAAATAAATGTACATAAGACTTTCAAACTATACTACTAACTTTCAGGTGATAAGTAGTATTATTTTTATTAGCAATAAATGTCACAGCACTGAATAGTGGTTGGGAGGGTTGACGTGGTGGGAGAAAGAATATATTGGGAAGAAATAAGGACAACCCACTTAAGAGTCAGGGAAAGGAAATTAGAGCCAACCCACCCCAAAATGCACATCCATTTAAGAAGCTGGAGCTCTGTTTTCACAGTCGTCTAAGTTCCTAACCTGGAAGGCTGGCTGCAAGTCATATGTGGGTGAGAAGCTCTGGGACCTCCCGAAAAGCAGAAGAGAGCACCTCGCCCCCACCCCCCACCCCCGGCCCGGCGTAGTTCTCACATATTGGCTCCTATCCACCATCAAGTTCCTTCACGGCATTCCCTAAGTTGAAGTTTCGATTTTGCAGTCTTATCTGCTACCTTCCTCCCCTTGCAAAACTGAATGTGTGCCTTCTCCGAAAGGTGTTTACGCCGAGACGTCCTGGAAATTCCAAGTCACGAAGGTAGAGGGACAGGTAGGGAAAAACCAGAGGTCCTTGGGAAAGAGCCCTGATTGTAAAAGGTGGGCCAGAGGTCCCGACTCCCGTAATGCATGGGATCCCCCCTAAAGGGGTGGAGAAGATGGGAAGGAGGGAGAAGGCGAATGTCAAAGGAGACATGAATTCCCAGGACGTGGGACCCCTGGCTGTTGACTTCTTCCTTTGAGCAAGGCTTCTAGCCACCCTCAGAGCTATGGTCATATCCATCACTGTCTCTATTCTTCTTGGTCTTTTGGGGAGGAAAAAAAAAAATCAAATCATGCACTTTAGATCAAGAAAGGGCTATGGAGATCACATGAGCGGACATGTTTATTTTACAGTTGAAGACACGGAGACCCAGAAATGTTAAGTGACTCTTCGGTGACCACAGAGCTGGTTAGTGGCTAGCCTAGGATTCGACTCAAAGGCTGTTGACTTCTACAAGAGCCTTTTCTCTTGCAGCAAGTGCCAGGATAGAATTTGTCCTCAGAAGGTAACAGAAGATGCTCAAAATTGCACGTTACTGATGCCCTTTATAATTTGTTACTTAGACATTTCAGATTCTACAAATGTGAACTTTGAGGTAATGATATATTACTACGTATTGCTTCATAAGATATCAATCTGAAATATCTCGTATGTTGAGTTGGTATAAAATTAGAGATTCTCATCCTATCCCCAAGAGCATACTATTTTTCCTTGCTTGCTTAAAAGGGTCTATTTTTAAATATGAGAAACTGTGCATTTCTTTTCACGCAAATTAAACCAGATACAAACCAGATGAAACCTTTTTTTCTTTTTGCACTTCACTGATTTTATTTTATTATTATTATCGTTGTGTGGTTTTTTTAATGTTTATTTTTTATTTTTGAAATGAGAGACACAGCACGAACAGGGGAGGGGCAGAGAGAGAGGGAGACACAGAATCGGAAGCAGGCTCCAGGCTCCGAGCCGTCAGCCCAGAGCCCGACGCGGGGCTCGAACTCACGGACCGCGAGATCATGTCCTGAGCCGAAGTCGGACGCTTAACCGACTGCGCCGCCCAGGCGCCCCTAACTTTATTTATTCTTGAGAGATAGAGAAAGACAGAGCATGAGCAGGGGACGGGGAGAGAGAGGGGGAGACACAGAATCGGAAGCAGGCTCCAGGCTCCGAGCCGTCAGCCCAGAGCCCGACGCGGGGCTCGAACTCACGGACCGCGAGATCGTGACCTGGTTGAAGTCGGACGCTTAACCGACTGAGCCGCCCAGGCGCCCCTATTTATTTATTTATTTATTTTTCAATTGACAAATAGCTATTGAGTACTTATGTGGGCCACTTGCTTTTTTATATATATATTCTCTCACTTAAAAACCAGATGGCACCTTGGCTTTCATTTTCTCCCCTTCGAATTTTGCCTTAGCTGAACCCTTGCTTTACCCACATGTGTCTATAAGTCAGCGAGCGGGTTCTAAGCTCGGTTCCGCCGATTGCCACCTAGGTGAATTTGTACACGTTATTTATAAGCCCAGGGTTCCATTTCATTATTTGAAGAAGGCAGTATTTGGGGTCGACGGGCAAGCTTCTCTCTGGGATTATACAATCATACCCAACACAGAGTTCCTTTGGGAAAGATGCACGAAGGAAAAAGGTTTCCGTAGTGGACTCAGAATGCTGGAAACTCCAGCCTTTCACACAGGACAAGAGAAACAATGACTGCAGGTAAACTGATCACAGTATGTTCTGGAAACCTGATGAGATGGCATATGCTGAGTTGTGTGTGATACTATTGTGCTCTGATGGAGCAAAATGACAAGTGTTTTACCAGCATAGTTGTTTCGACACAGGGCACTAACATGTTACTGAATTCTTGACACAGGCATTTCCCATGCAATGCTAAACTCAAATCCCCTTGTAAAGAATCATTCCAGATTGAATCCACATATGGGGCTGGATGAGGAGTGTGCATGAACCCTGTCATCACGTGTCTTAGGTACAGGGGACAAGATGTTCAGCTGCTTTCCAGGGGACAAACCACAGTTCTTTTTTTTTTTTTTTTTTTAAATGTGTTATTTATTTTTGAGACAGAGAGAGAGTGTGAGCAGGGGAGGGGCAGAGAGAGAGGGAGACACAGAATCCGAAGCAGGCTCTAGGCCGTGAGCTGTCAGCACGGAGCCCGGCACGGGGCTCAAATCCACGAACCGCGAGATCATGCCCTGAGCCGAAGTCGGACACTTGACCGACGGAGCCACCCAGGCGCCTCAACCACGGTTCTAAATGTAACAGAGAGAGGCGCCTGGGTGGCTCAGTCAGTTGAGCGTCTGACTCTTGGTTTCGGCTCAGGTCATGATCTTGCGGGTTTGTGGGTTTGAGCCCCGCGTTGGGCTCCACGCTGATTCTCTCTCCCCCGCCTCCTTCTGCCCCTCCCCTGCTTGTGCTCTCTCTCCCTCTCTCAAAATAAGTAAATAGAAAAAAAATAAGCAAACAAACGTGTAATCTAGAGCAATGCCACTTTTGGAAACGAAAAATCGCGACTGACTTGCGAGCACGGCGATAAAGACGCCTTGTGTTAAGGCCACTTCTACATCATGCCTGTGACCTAGCTTTCATTATTCAATGGGTTCCCTCAGTGTGTATTTCATTGTACGCAAATTCCGATCTGGAGGAACGCTTTGTAATCGCGTTTCCGTTCGTTAAGGTCTCTTGCCCAGTTGGCAACCTTCCTTCTTCCTTGACCGGGGCCTCTGTTTCGGGCACCGCCAATCCAGTGTCTCCTCGGAACAAACCGCTTGAGGGAAGGCGGGGCCACTCCTTCACGAGCTCGACTGGAAGTGGAAAATCACGGTCGCGGAGGAAGTAAGTGCAAAGGTCAGGAAAATACGGATTCAGAGTCGAATCCTCATGTTTTTGCTTTTGTGGCAGGAAACGGCAACTGGGATCAGACAATGGGATTTTGAAGGAAAACATGAGAGGCTGATATTTCAATTGTGACACGGGACCTTAGGACAATCTTCTACGCTTCCTCACCGCAGAGGGGCCAGCCATCTCTCGAAGCCCTTCAGCACCTGCTCGTCTTCTCTGAAACTTCAAGATGGAGTGAGTAAAAAAAGGGCAACTTCAGAGTTAGCTGGGTTTCAGACTCCAGTGCCCCCGGGGGCGTCCTGACTCATGACCTTGAGTACGTTAACATCTCCGAGCCTTGACTTCTTTACCTTTAAACAAAAAGAGGCAAGGGTTCCAGTTCTTCCGTGTAGCGTGAGGCGTCCATGGCGTAATGTCTGCAGAAGTGGCTATGCCACACTTTGCACATAGTAGGTGCTCAGTAAATGATACTTCTCCTCAATGTCTGTATCTGCCTGTATTATAGACACCAGCTACTCTTTGACCTCACAAGTCTTTCTTTCTGGATGTGGATGTTGGGTTGTCCGATGTTTCGGAACCTTTTTTGAGAGCCACAGAGCCTCTGGCACGGTCCTAGAGGGCGTTTGCTTATCTGTGGTTTCTGTTGACTCTAATCTTTCCAAGTGCTAGATCCTGCAGGATTTTGTGCATCTTCTTCCCCTCGCTTGATCTCGTGGGATTTGTCTCCTTGACTGCCTAGAACTGCCGTGAGGCCCCTGAAGCCTGACGCGTCCTCTTTCCTTCCAGCTTGGGCTTCAGCAGTACCCCCAAACGTTCGAGTTATTTCTGGTATAATCGTAATAGCTAACGTCTGTTTGGTGCTTACCAGGTGGTAGTTATCGTGTGAAGCTCATGCCATTTAGTGTCACTTAACGTGATCTCCCGGTAACCCAAATGAGGAAAATGCTTTTCTAATCTACATCTGATAGTCAGCTACCCGAGGCGTGAAGAGGCTGAGTTTTGGCCCATGCAGGGGCAGGAGGAGGATTTGAATGCAGAGCTCTAAGACTTCAAAACCAGCGCTCAGCTGCAGTGCTGGAGGGCTTTTTCAGGACCACCTGGTCTTCGGATTGGCCAGAGGCTGTTCTTACAGACGACTTGGGAGGGCGTGAACTCCTTCCTCCTCGAGGGGACACCGTTGGCAACAGAAGCCACTCAGCTGAAACATTCTGTGGCTATGAACAGGATGCAATTAAGTCTATAATCTGTTACGGTCACCTGAAGGATCATTTGGAAATGAGAACTCTTTCCAACGAGCAGTTCAGATGATGTAGGTGTTCATGTTTGAAACCCATAACGTCTGTGCTTATCATTGCTCGTCAATCCAGATGGACAAGCAGGAACTATCTCTGAGGAGTGTCTTCAAAATGAACAATTGGAGGAGTCAGAGCGACCCTTCGGCTCTCAAACCCCAGGACCTTGCACGCATTAGAGCTTCCAGTTCAATAGCTCCGTCCATCCTTTCAGAGCAAGAGAGCGATGTGGCTTCAGCCTTTGGGAAGACACTATTTACTGGTAGAGTGGTGACAGCTTGGAGAGCTCTCTTCTGTTCTGGCCCTCAGCATGGTGACATCACCTCCTTATGTCTTAAGTTCCACAGCCCCGGGCGGGGGGCAACATGGAGGTGGGGGTGGCAGAGTTTAACTGTTGGAATAACTGAGGGAGGCAAGGCAGCCAGGTGGCCTGTTGGTGCTTACATTAAAAAAAAAGAAGAAGAAGGAAGGAAGGAAGGAAGGAAGGAAGGAAGGAAGGAAGGAAGGAAGGAAGGGAGGGAGGAAGAAAGAAAGAAAGGAGAGGGGTTTCTAAAATCTCTGTAATTTCTGTAAATAGAATGCATATATATTCCCCTCTCCTCCTTGGATTGGAAGGCAAAGAATGTAGGACTGTCCAGCTCACTGGGCACTTGTGACCCCACCAAAGGGGTTCTTGGTTTGGAATCAGACAGGTTCTTGGGAATTTGAATTCCCATTCCATTCATTTTTAGGGATGTGTTTTTTGACAATTTAGTCATCGTCGTAACCTCCCAGTTTCGCACTGGGGATAATCACATAATGGCCATTAAAAACTGTCTCCAGATTCTTGGATACTTTTCCCACCGGGTGCCTATGTCTCCTCTCCTCCAATCTGGGTGAATCTTGTGACTGTTTCGGCCAATGGAATGTGGCGGAAATGATGCCGAGCGGCTTCTGTGGCTAGGGTAGATGAACCACCTAGCCTCTGCCTGGTATCTTGAGTCACTTATTTTGGGGAAGACAGCCACCACAGAAGAGGTCCAACTACACAGGAAGGACCACGTCTACAGACCCTGTTGAGCAACCAGCTGACAGCAGCATGGAGTAGCAGCCCTCTGTGTGAGCCATGTAGGACATCCAGTCTAGTCAAGTCCTCATGGCCACAGTGCACCTGACATCTGACCCAATGGTGTAAAAGGTCCCAAGTGCGAACTGCCCACCCACGGCCCCTGCAGATTCCTGACTCACAAAATCGTGAGCAAAATCAAATCGTTGTTTGACGTATTTAGTAACTGACGAGCCTCAGTTTCTTCCACACTGGTTCTCTTCCCGTCTAAGGTTGTCATTGGTGACCAGGATGACTTTGTGTCCCTAGGATAATGGTTTTTGGCAGTGGCTGGAAGGACGTGGTGAGGTCATCCCCCTAGTGACAGCCCCGTCTTGCCGTTGTGTGTCTTGAGTTTGAGTCACTGCCTTGGGGCCAATTTGTGTAAACTGGGGGCCATGTAGGTAGACTTATAAACTGTAGTAAAACCTGGAAAGATTGATACCATCACTGAGGACTCACTGCTAATCTCAGAACTCAGTGGGCTTTTCTCACTGCCCTTGCTATGGGACATTTCCACAGAAATGATCCAGACTGCACACTGACTTGAAGCCGGCTACTTTTCTGTTTTTCTGTTCACTTACTATGTTCAAATTGGCCCTAATATACCAGGGAGAGGTTGCAGCCGGGAGTACAGACGGCAAGGGGAAGGCTGTGGGCGGAGCAGTGAGGGAGAGCCCTGGAGAAAGAGGAGTCCTAGGACATCAGAGCTTCGCGGACAGCCCGTCGTCCCCAAGGGGGCGCGGTGACGGTGGCCCCAGGTGACGGGAGGCCAAGCTAATTCCATGTGGCACGGATGGTGGAGGAGACTCTGAGACCTAATGGAGCATCATTTGCTTGCCAGGAACAGAAAGTCTGACACGTGCTAATTGAAGAAAGAGGGTCTCTCTAGTCAGGAGATCGGGGAACCTCAAGGCATCCGATTGCATGGAGTAAAGTAATCACCCAGAGCTGCATAGCTAACGTGTGGCAAAGTTGGAACTTGCATCCATGACCACTGTCTTAGTGTCCAGGGTTGGCTGCTTATCTGAAGCTCTGGATCTTTAAGATAAATTCTCTTGAAGAGTACAGCTTCTTTTTTTTTTTTTTTTTAAGTTTATTTATTTTGAGAGAGAGTGAGAGCAGGAGGGAAAGAGAGAATCCCAAGCAGGCTCTGTGCTATCAGTGCAGAGCAGACTCAGGGCTTGAACTCATGAACCGTGAGATCACAACCTGAGCCCAAACCAAGAACCGGATGTTTAACTGACTGAGCCACCCAGGCGTCCCTCTTGAAGACTACAGTTGAACTAGTTGGGGCCCAGAGAGTGGTTTTGAATCCGATGTCCAGTCCTGGCTGTGACGAGTAGGACCCTTGCGGGCTCTGGGTGGGGGTGGGGTTAGGGAGTTGTTCTCTAAAAAGAGAATGTGAGTCGTGAAGAAATACTGAGCATTGTTAGCAAGCCAGGGAGTGGTGAGGGGTCACAGCACAGAGCCGAGATGTCCCTGTGGCTCCTCTGTCCAGGTAATGACCTCTTGCCGGGGCTGGAGCTCCCACAAGGCTTCCCTGGCAGAGAGGTGATGTGCCAAGGACGTCTGAGTCTCGGGTGTTGTTGCTTCTGTCTCCATTCAAGAGACAATGGCCCTAGCCGGCCTTGTGTCCCATCCTTTCTTAACATCAGCAGAGACCTAGAATTTTAAAAAATACAGTCTCCTTTTTTTGTTTGAAGCATGGAGATTGACATCACAACATTGGAAGGGAGACCCAGTCCTACCTTTCTCGCCTCAAGGCCAGGCTCAGCTCTGCCCAGCTGCATGCTTAGCATCGGCACAAATGTCAACTTGTCCCATGGTCTCCTCCGCGGTGGGCTGCGTAATTTCCCGGAGGGGGCTGCCTCTCTCGTTGGTTCTCTTGACCTCAGCCAGGCTGTGTTCCTTTCAGCTGGTGCCTCGGGGAGGTGCGGGGACTTTGATAAAACACCGCACCGGACTCGGCTTCCCCAGCGAGTGAATTGAGATAAGAGGCCCCGAGAAACCAGACATTTGGATGTCAGCATTTGTGTTTGGGAGAGAAGTTTATTTGGAGACTAGAGGAGGAGACTCTGCTCTTTAGAAAATGGCAGAGGGAAGCGTAGCCTTCGTGTGCGGGCAGCCTCCATCAGGGAGCAGGAGGCTTTCAAGGCACAGGAATGTTTCCAGATGCCACATGTGCCTTTGGAAGACAAGGCGAGCTCCTCGAGGGGCCGGAGGCAACACGGTTGCCCCTGGGCCTGGGGAGCCACGATCATTCCTAAAAAGACACAGAGTTCCCTTCCATACCCCTCTGCGTGGTGCCAGCCTCAGCCAGTACTGCCAGCCACAGAAAATCCGGCAGACTGATGTCGTAGGAGCACAGCTGTCAGGGACGATAGGAAAGGGGGCGGATCGGTCGGATGCTCTTGTTTGTCCTGGTGCCGGGGTGGAAACGCATGGGCTGGGGGGTACGCGGCAGCGTCGACCTGGCTTCAGTGGATCGGCTTTATCTTCGCTACAGGCCCCTGCTGTGTGTTTGCCAAGCGCGAGACCCGATCGATCGTTGCTCCCTCGGGCTAGCTCCGAGACAGGCTGCTGAGGGCGGGTGACTCATCCGTGGGCTCCGATGGGCACTCTCTGCCCGCTTGTGGGCTGTATGTAGCCTGCGTACGTTGTGTCATGAACTTTCAGGTTGGTAAGATGCTGGGGACTCCCAGATGATGTCACCTGTCTAGTGTTAGGGCGGTAACAAGCCTCTGAGACTCCTGTCACGGTGTGGGGGACAGTAGGGGTGCTTCAAGAGACTGTGCTCGGAAGCTCGATTCAATCTGCTCATCCTGCCTGGTGGGCATAGAGAGAGAGAGAGAGAG